TCAATCGGAAGGACGTCCGGTACCTCGCCGTGGCACAACAGGGACGGGATGTTGCGGACGTTCTTAGCGTTCATCTCCTCGAGCACGTCTCCTTCTAGATGGGAGCCAGTGAAACGCCAGGTGTCTTTCAGGAACGCAACCTGATTCGTAGACGCGTCGACAGCCCAGAAACCCCTCGTGCCCCTGCCGTGCAGGAACTGAGGTGAGATGACGGGTCGAGAGACAAGGTATCTGTGGACCGTTTTCGGCGTGGCCACAGAGCCCTGCTCTAGAACATGCATCGCGGAGACGCGCCCTGGCAGATAGTGTTCCGCGACAGCTTGCTGCAGCTCTGCACCCTCCACCCCCAGTTGAGCCTTGACGTGCTGAGCGACAGCTTCGCGGAACGCGACCTCTTCCTCTGCGGTAGCCGCCACCACTGTGGCATCGTGGCCCCGGGCGATCCTCGACATCTTGGAGAACCGTCGCAGGAAATCGCACAGCAGCTCGGGTTGAGTACGGATATCGAACCTCTCCGTGACGATGCAGCCCGCACGGTCCCAGCGGAAGAGACGGCCGTAGTGGCCGGCGAACGCCACAGTGAAGAAGAAGCTTCGGTGCTGCCGCGCGAACACCTCCGTCACATAAGAGATGTGCGGCCCCCATGCCATGTCGTGGAACTCCTTCAACACCTCGGAATCGGTTCCCAAGCCCAGGAGTTCTTGCGAGCCATCCCACGCCCGGTGATCTGATGAAGAGAAGTAGTCCGAGTGCGGGTGGGTGTAGCTGATGTCGATGAAGAGCTCGGCATGGCCCAGCTCGGGTCGAGAAGTCGTAGATGCTCCTTCGATGATCTCGAGATTCTCCGCTGCGTAGCAGCATATCCGCGGCTTTGTCCTACTCAACTTCCTCGGCGCGGGGGAAGGCGGACCAGACTCCTGGCGGAAGACGAACCCCGGACATAGATCGTTCTCGCTGAGTGCCTTCAGCTGAAGACCGAGGTCAGCCGAGCCTGTGGCGAAGACGTGTAGATGTGACGGCGCACCAGTGGTTCGTATATCTGTTCTGCGGAAACATTCTTCTGAGTGTCGGGCACTCCGCTGAAGATCTTCTTCAAGTTCTTGTCCTTCGGCATATCTTTGAGGCCATCTACCTTGAGGAAACGGCGGAGAAACTCGGATACGGGCATAGGGCCCAGTATGAACCTTTTCGAGTCCTTGACGTTTTGGCCAAGAGCTTCCGCGCTATACAGCGACTCCATATCCTGGTCTACGGCCACTGGAACATCGTAGACATAGTGATTGGGAGGCGAGGCAGGTTGCTCAATGGCCATAGGTGTGGGTGGCGCGGCAGAGTTGTCGGGAAAGAAGGAGTTGATCAGGAGCACTGCCGGGGATCGCCCACAAATATATGACGCCCAGCGCGCGGCCCCAGGTACTGTTGTTACATGATAAGGCTTGGGCAGAGCAGAACAAGGACAAGAACGCACGGCTGTGGACCTGTGGCGAGGGCAGATGATGATGATGATGCATGATTGCGCATGGTGCTTATTGTGAGCCTCCGGCCGTAGCGCTTGATGGCCTTGTTGTCTATCAAGACGTCGGAAGACGACAACAAGAGGATGCTCAGACCTGTTCAGACCAAACTGGACAGCGCGCAGCCAGATAGTCTTCTGTTGAATCAACACTGCTCAGCGCGTGAACAGTTAGAAGTGGAGAAGTTCCATGCTGGTGGTACGGGAAAACGTCAATCTTAGACGCTCACGGTGCGCGGCGTTAACTGCCATCGTACACCAACGCAGAATTAGGTCGACAGCAGTGATTTTGTAAAGCCCAAGGCATCATAATATTCGTGACAGGTCATCATGGGTCGTAAGTCATGAAATACGTATGATGGTCCCACATAGTAAGTATTCGGGAACCGAACACGTTCGAGCGTTCACTGGCAGGAATGATGACGACGGTTGTGTTAAGAAGGAGTAGAGGCATGCGCAGAGATACTGATAAAGATATGGCTGGGGCATTGGGGACGAGTCCAGTTATCTCACTCAACGTACGTCTCCGTGCCGGTCGTCCACTTCGCGCGGGGAGTGTACTTCAAGTCCTGGTCTTGCATGCGCTCCTTGACCGTCACATGGAACTTCGGCTTGATGTCCGGGATCTCTCGTCCACGCCCGAGATGTATCCTGCCAAGAGGAAAATCAGAACCCATCAGGACAGAAATATGGGGACGCCGGGACTCGACGTACCACCACTTCCTGACCGACTTCCCGCTCGCGTCCTGATACTGGTACGAGAGCGGGAGGATCTCGAGTAACCACCAGGCCTTTTTCAACTGCAGTTCATCATGTATCGGCTGAAGCGCAGCGACGTCCACATCAAGCGGGTCGCTGGTGGATCCCGAACCATCCACCGGGTCGGCGAGGACCTCCCGCTGCGGCTCCGTTTCTCCGTTTGCAGGATCGCTTTGAAAAGGAAGGCCGACGGTGGCCGAGTGAGTTGAACCGTCCCGAGTGGTCACTGCATTCTTGGGCAACGGCATTCCTACACCCGTGAATATAGCATCGGGGATGTTCGCGCGCACCAGGGCAGCCTGGTCAAACGAGATACCACACTGTGCCAAGACAACCTCCCGAACCATCCAGCGCAGGGTGATGTCCGAGAGGCTGATCTTCGTGTCGTCGGTGACGGAACCTCCTCCGACGTCTGTGAGGTTGCTCAGCAATTTCGACAGTAAACCTGTGGCACCAGTACTGACCGCTATGACACCCAACGAACCAGACCTCCAGCACGTCCGTGCCTCCAGCGATCACATCGCCTGGCCCGCCCGAAGGGCTTGAAGAGGTCGACGCGCTCGATGACTCCGTGTTGCCGCCTGCTTCGAGGTCGACGTTCTCCTGCTTGACCTTTGGCATGGGCATCGTAGCCGGATCCTGCCGGTTCTTTGATGGCCATCTGCGCATCCACGAACCGAGCGATTTCTGCCTCCGTACTGCTGCGGTCGGACGCTTGACCGCAGTGTTCCCCTTTGCTATTGCTTCTGCGGTGGTGCGAGTACCCAGGTCATCTGCCTGCACGGCAGGCGTTTTGGCGGCTGACTGCTCCGGGGTGTCTCTGTGGTAGAGGTTGGGCAGGAACTTGACGCGGTGCTGTCAACCCTGTCAGCAATGACACCGGTGGTGATATAAAGAGATGCGCATACCTCATCCAGGGCGAGGGCGTGTCGGAATGTCTTGATGGTCGTGTTCCCGGTGACGAAGGGAAGCGTCCGCCCCATGATCACGCCGACGCTCGAGACTGTCTCCCTGTTCACGCTGTGAGCCTCTGCCATCCCACGGGAAGGATCTCTCTCTCTCACCAAACGCCGACGAACTCGATCAGTACATTCCGGCAGAAGGTCTGCTTAAAGCCCGCAGCAAGCGCGAGACTCTCGTCGTCTGTTTTCTTGTAGAGTTTGTACGCGAAAGGGACCTGCTCTGGATTGTCTCTGGGCAGCAGTCCAATCTGTGAAGAGGCCATTTTGAATCAGAGTTTGAGAGACGGCCATTTGGATGGCAGACTTCCCGCCAACTAAACCAGCCCGTGACGTGCGTACCTTGTGAAGCATCCCCGCCAAGGCTCTCGCAGTATAGGCTCCGCGCGAGAACCCTTCAATATAACGATGAGTGCATACGTCACGCACCCCCAAGGGCAAGATGCGTACCGAAGATGCATATTCTGTCCCCGGGCACGTAGTTCTGCATCAAGAATTGGTAGCCTCCACGAACGTGCTCGTCGAGATACCTGCAATTGGGTCAGCATGGCGAGCATCGCATCAGGGAACGGCACACGGACCATGCGAAGGCTTCATCAAGAATCTTCGCACACCACTGGAAGATCGGAGAGACGACCCCGGGATTGAAGTACGTGCCTATCCCAGGCTGCGGAGAAGGCGATCATACGCCCGCGTTAGGAGCTACTGGTTCCGGACTATGCAGAGTGCAGGCATCCCGTCCTCGGACGGCACGCAATGCCCTCGACCCACCTGGTAGTAGCAGAGCTGCTGGTCGAAGTCTTCGTCCTTCTTAAGCAAGGAGTAGAACTTGACTACGTTCGTGTTCTGCTCGGCAAGTGTGTCAGTGAATGCGGGAATATGTAGGCTCGGTTACAGTTCAGAAGGACTCACATCGCCATCGAACTGGTTGGAGGTGCCGTCAAAGCAGAGGATAAGGGTACGCGGTGTCTGCTCCGAGGTGTTGCCAGACATTGGCTGGTTTGTCGAGACGGGGGGAGTGGTAGATGCTGAAGCCATGGTGGTTCAAAAGGACACTGGAGACTGGCCCTGGGAGAGTATGAGTTAGGATGGAGACAGCGCGTTCGTCTTCGAGAAGACGTTGACGGGCTGTCAACGGATAAGTTATGACAGTATGAGGTGGGGAAGAAGCACGGGCTTGGGAAGCCATGACCCTGTTTATATGGCGACGCTGCCGGAGGAAAAGCAATGATGCAAGCGGGGTATGTAGTTAGCATGGACACGTTCGCCACATGACTGGGTCGTCACCATCGGAGACTTGTCCTCTGATGCCGTTTTATAGCTTCGCCAAATGCAGGACACTTGGCTCTGACACTTTCCAAGAGCGCTGAGAGGTTGTAGGAAATTGGCTGCGCCCTAGATGATCAACTAGGTCAGTATGTCTCGTAGATCGTGAGGAACTGCAATCGCTGGACGTGCTTTTCGACTCTAGTGATGGAGGAGCGAGCACAGCAGCCTGTGGCAGGTGGCAGGTGGCAGCCTACCATGCTCATGAGTGCTTTGAGACGACCGTCCCAGTCCGAAAAATGCAAACAAGGGGGTCGCATTCGCGGTCTATAGCTGCTAATGGCCTCCTTACATACTGTACATGTACTTGAGTGACGGGCCTATGGACGTGCAGAGAGGACGGCCAGGGACGCTTCGTGCAACAGCCGCATGATGCTACAGCGGATGAATGCGTTACTACAGTAACCATACTACTATATATAGCAGCAGAGGTCAAGGTATAAGCCTTCTTAGCTCAGTGGTAGAGCGCGCCACTCGTATTAATGACGAAAGATGGTGAGGTCGGTTGTTCAATCCAGCCAGGAGGCATGCAGGTGTCGCTATCTCATTTTGATCGTCAATGTTGTGTGCCGCTGCGCAGGTTCGGTGCAAGTGCTTTCACCAACAAGCAACTCAGATCGCATTTGCCTCGTCACCTGCTCTCTACAGCCACATTTCCAGTAGTTGAACCTCCATCGCAGCTTATTGAAGAAGAGAGGGTGCCCTGGTATGACCCCAAGGACTTTTATCCTATACGCATAGGGGAGGTGTTCCAGTCGCGGTACCAGGTGGTCGGGAAACTTGGCTATGGAGGATATTCCACTGTTTGGCTCTGCCGCGACCTTGTGTGAGTATGCTCCTACACGTACTGCTTGCTGCCTTTCCGTCCTGAACATCACGACAATAGGGGACATTGCCACGTAGCAGTCAAAGTCTGCTCACGCAATGCCATCCCGATCAAGCGCGAGCTTGCGGCTCTCGAACACCTCAACGACCTGCCGAAGACGAAGCACGCCGGACGGCAGTTTATTCGCACCTTGCTCGACCGCTTCGAGCTTACTTCCAATGACGTGCCGTCGCGATCCTTCCAATGTCTCGTGTTCAAACCAATGGCGGAGTCGATCTGGGCATTTCGGGAGGGGCGGCGGTTGTCTCAGTGGCTGCTCAAGGATATCTTGTACCACATCCTCCTTGCACTTGACTACTTGCACAGCGAGGCGAAGCTCATTCACGCCGGTTTGTCTCACCTCCTCTTACCCGCATCGTATATCTCATCATATTCATGTGTGTCTCAGATATCCAAGAGAAAAATATTCTTCTCTCTCTGGATGATACCGAGGCGCTCCAAGCGTACGAAGAGGGTGAACAAACCAGCCCAGTAGCGCGGAAAATAGATGGCGACCGCGTCATCTACTTGTCTAGGCCCATTGAGCCCAAGCAATACGGTCCACCGTATCTCTGCGATTTCGGCGAAGCGCGCATCGGACGTACAACGTACACGGGCCTCATCCAGCCCGAGCAATATCGTGCGCCAGAGGTCATACTTGGCATGCCATGGAATGAGAAGGTGGACATCTGGTCCGTCGGCGTGATGGTACGAGGAGGCGCGCGCCTTGCACACTCGAGCTCTGATTGCTTGCTTACTCGCTACGTCTCGTAGATTTGGAATATGTTCCAGGGCAAGAATATGTTCAAGGTCACTGGTGGACCGGAGGATGAAGCGCACGATCGGTACCACATCGCGCACATGGTTTCTCTACTGGGTCCACCCCCTGTCGACTTCCTCAAGCGTAGTGAAACTGGTGAGCCTTGGAAGTACTTCGATGCACAAGGTGAGAGTAACATCGCCGCGTAATTCTTGTGTGCATGGATTGACTTCAACGTCATTGCTCCAGGCAACTGGATCGGTGCAGCCGACTTGCCCGACGACAGTCTCGAACTGTCAGAAAAAGTGTCGGAAGGAGAGAACAAAGCTCAATTCCTGAATTTCGTGCGGAAGATGGTGGCACTGGCATGGAAGCCGGAAGATCGCTTCAATGCGGACGAGCTCCTGAAGGACGCCTGGCTTCTTGCGCGTGACTGACATTCCATGCACTTGGTCCGTCATAATACATCTGCATCATAGCCAGACATCGTCCTCCCGGGTTTCGAGAATCAATCACTGCTGGAGCCTCCATACCCCATCCCTGACTGTCACATGCCCTTCCCGTCGTGCAGCCTCCATAAAGTCGGCCAGTTGCTCGATAGTCCTGTCGTATCCAGGAGCCAACTTGAGCATGCTCTGTATCCTTGCCAGACTGAGCGATCCGAGGTTCGTGAGCATTCCCTCGATGAACTGGAGAAGCATTCGCAACGTCGTCGTTTAGTCGGCCATCTGTAGCATGCGAGCCTTGCACGAGGACGTACCTTCCAGTATACCTTCATCTGCTCCTGCTCCTGCTGCTGGACGGTCAGGACTGAGGAGGTGTCCTCCATGGCGGCTAATGAAGAAAATCGTTATTCATCAGACATGTACTCGTCTGAAACAGTAGTCAACGCCTTCATGGACCTACCTTGCCTGGCGACGGGGTTCGAGCTTGACGACGCTTCCTCCGCAACCTCGAGAAGCTTGTACAGGCCTGTGTCTTCCTCCTTGAGCACGCCGAGGTCGACCCACGTCAGGACTGCCTTGAGAGCGGCTGCCCTCTCGATCTTCATCTCTGTCGCGAGATCCGCGACGTCCCACGTATCTACCGCAGTGTCCTGAGCCAGCAGCCAAACGGACTGAGCGCGATGGATATGTACCTTTGGTCGAGAAATGCTCGATGATAGCGGCTTCGAGTGGTGGCACCTCTGCTGAGACGGTGCGGTCCTGCAGCTCAATATCCAGACTGATAGTTCCGAGGTGAGGTAGCCAGTGTAGCTTCTTGTCCGGCTTGAAGAGATGGAACTCCTTCGCGTATGCTTCTTGAATCCTAGACATACCTCCATGAGTCTGGCGATATGACAAGATAAGTGCGAGACGCACTCCTTGAATTGCCCCGGCATGTTGAACATGCTCGTTTGCAGAGGCGGCCAGAAGTGCCGTGAAACGATAGTAGGATGAAGAGGCATCTAGCGCAGCAGTGAGAACACATTTCGACAGCGATCGACAACGGAAGCTTACCTGCTTCTGGGCTTGTATATGCTGGTCGATCCGCCTCGAGTCGGTCATATCCCGCAGCATGACCTCGCACACTTGCAAAGCGGCCTCTCCGAACCGAACCTTCAGAATCTCGATGTTCCGGCGCTGCAGCCCAACGGTCAAAGGCCGCGACACTTGCCTCCTTTCATGACCACGCACCTCCTTCTCGTAGTTGCCGTCCGTGACGGCGAGCAGTCGTTGAGCGAGCAGCACTTGCAGCTCCTTGACGAAGAGATCCTTGGAGTCGTAGATACTGACCAGTGTACTGATGACGTCCGTAGGCTTGTTCGTACGGAAATCTGCAGAATCAAGCATCAGCCCCCGTTGTGGTTCGCGCGCGCGCGGAACGCACCTGGTCCCGCGTCGATCGGCTCAGGTTCCCAGTTCGGATCGTTATAGTCGTCTGCTTGTCGTTGTTGTAGTGGCTGTATGGGCTCGTTCTCATTCTCGTTCCCGAGTCCCTCTCCGCCCTCGCCGTCCCCGACGAGATAAGTCACGATGGACCGGATGGTGTCAGGACGTTCTCTACACACCATGAGGACGCATGCCATGACGGGTGTCAGTGACGAGCTCACCTCAGATATCTACGGATCGGATCCGCCACTTTGTATAGCAGCACGCCCGGTGGATCCAAGAACCGCAGAGCATTCATGGTGTTCTTGTATTGGTCAATGATGGAGTTCGTGTCAGCTCCCGGGTGCAAGAGTCGTTTCCTGTTACTGCACAGCTCATCAGGAACACCAAGCTCGAGCATGAGAGAAAGCGCGTACGCTCGGCGTAAGCTTTTCACCAGTTCGTTGCGCTGGTCCACACGGCTGAGACATTCCTACAGAGAAGATCAGGCGAGCTCTGCGCATTGTCAATCGCTTCCTACTTTCAGATCTTGCAGTGCTGGCATGGAATCAGGATATTCGATGATAATGTCAAACAATTCTTGTAATCTGAAGCGGGAGTATAAGATGATGCCCACATCAAGTTCCGATATATGCCAATGGCAGTACCTACCGCAGGTCGCACAGCGTCTTGCACATGTGGTAATCGAACCTCGAACCGACGCCCTGTAGCATTTGTCGCGCTTCGTCCGCTGTATAGGTGGAGGGCATCATACGGTGTGCACGCTGGCAAACAGCAGTACTAGCGGATATTGCTCACCACTCCGTGCCCCTCTCGCATATGGCATTACCATCCATGGGACGACCCTGTCTGTCATCCATCCCCTCAAGCACGTCAACATCGACTCGTGCCACCTCTTCGCACACGTCTCCATGACGTGTGCTTCGATGTACTCGTAGCAGACGCTGGCGATAAGCGACTCGTACCGGTCCAGCAGCCCAAGGGACTCGCAAGCGGACCATAGGAAGACATCTTGGCGGGCTGGGCCTGGGGGGAGCGATGGGTGAGGTTCCGGGGGCAGCGCCCACGGCGGGCAAGGTGCGTTCACGAACGAGAACGAGGATGCGATGAGCTGCTTGAAGCCACGCGAGAAGGACGGCGGGAAGGAGGAGTAGAGATGGGTCTGGAAGGCCAGTGTGTATGCAGAGAGGAGTATGGACCCTAGTCTGCGGGAAAGGTCAGAAATAGCGTCAGCAGATAGTACCTGGTAGGGCTTACTCTGGGATCGGTGACCATTCCTTGTACCACTTCTCGAGCCGGTAGATCAACCTTGCCATAAAATCCGGAGTATCCGCCGCCTGTCCATCCTCGTCATGAACGTCAGTTTCTGCGACTACAGCTTGACGCACCTCCCACTCAGCCATATACTCGTTGATATCGCGCTCAATGAGGTGCTGTTGCTTTCGCATGTCCTCTGGAGAGGTGTGATTAAGAGATATGCCCTTGCAGCACTGAGATTCACTACTCACCAAGGAAGTTCTCCATCAAGAGAGGAAGCATTTTTGCCCTGCTCAGGAACTCAAAGGAAGCCCGCACTTCCTGCATGCCTGGCAAACCACTCAGCATTTAGACCGCCGGGCACGGCATTAGTGGACGCACTGTATTCCTTACGGGGAGTAGGATCATTCAGGTCTCGAGGGTATAGGAAGTCCGTTGCAATTCTCCATGCCTACGGAAGTCAGTGACCAGGAACTATGAGTATCGTTCGGACTAAGTAGACGAACACGGGTGGCAGACCTCGCTGAACGCAAGCAGCCCAGTGATCCCCGGTTCCGCTCTGTTGAGGCGAGCGAACGAGTTGTTCCACTTGTTCTGGACTTGCTTCGCAAGCACATTGGCTGCCATTGCACGTCTGAAGTACAGCAGCGCGGCTGGACTATCGACCCTAGTAGTAGGTGATCGTGGTTGGTGGCTGGGCGAACGCGTCGCGTCGCGTCGCGGGCGCGTAAATTAGGGTACAAGGCGCCCGTCCTCCTCCCTCTCTTGAGCTTGA